AAGATTTAAACTTTATCTTATACATCACAAACATTTTAAAAAATAATCCTTTGTTAAATGATTTGATTATGGCATTTGTTGCCTTGCATATATTTTAATGTTTCTTGATTTAATATTCTTAACTTTTCTTTCATAGTTCCTGTTCCTGTCTTGATTAAAGGCGTCTTACTAACCCCTACATGACCAATATAGGTTTTTACATTTTTTTCCTAACATTTAAATTTTTTATAGTGTGCCTGGGATGTATTTTTGTGAATAGCATGAGAATGAAATCCAACTGAAAATTTAAAAATAAGGGCAGTTAATTGGATATTAGTGTTTATTAAACAAACCATGCTCTTTCTGTTGAATAGATATACCATCATTGCCATAAAGCAAACTTTCATATATCCTGGAATTTACACTGTGAATTCTCTATTCACTCCTACATATATATTTATTTATTAAGTCAATATCTGCAAAGGAAAGTCCTCCCAAGAAACCTTCTTTACCACAGTTTTCTTGGCTATTAGTAGATATTTATTCTTTTATTCTTCTATTTGAGTTTTACATTATTTTGCCTACTTCTCTTGCTTTCCTGGAACAATTGGGATGTTGTATAACAAATTATTTAGAGGCATTTAGTAGAAAGCAATCTAGCAGTTTGAAGCAGAAAGAACTTTAATGTAGAGAATTAGTTGTTACATAATTTATGTGTCTTGGGAGCAACATCTAGGCTGGGCCACCAGGAAGAATTTTTCTGATTGGCCCCTGGGGGATTTTGGTTGTCACCATAAAGAATAGAGGAAATCAGGAAGGCACTGAACCAGCTGTTGGCACCTGGAACTTACTGGTGCCCAGATCACAAGGTTCTGATCAAGCCTCGACTTTATTTTTTGAAATGGCTGTATATATACAGCAGAAACAAAGGGGGGCAGGGTTGCCTATGCAGAGGGGTCTTTGGCAGTGTATAATTGGTTTAGGCACTGAGTGACGAGGTGGTAAGGTATCTGGCAACACAGGATTGGCTAACTGCCAGGGCGGAGTAACATTCCAAGGTGTAACATTCCAAGGCTGGGCTAGCTGTGGGGGAGGATCAGGAAGGGGAAGTTGCAAAGATGCTAAGCGGCAGGAAGCGGCAGGTTAATCTTATCTTGTGGCCAAACCCTCAGGGTACCACATAACTTCTGCTAGATGGAACTTAATTCCATTTCCTTAAGACAGAGTTGCTTGTCTCAACTCTGATGGCTCCCAACATCAAGATATTGGTTTCTATATTAAAAAGGTCTTTCCATGTAATATTTCATTACAGAATTGGTTCATTGAATCATTAATTGGAAAATGTGACCTCTGCATTGAAATTATGGGAAGAAAAAATATCTAATTTTCTATTAGTATTAAACTGTATGAGATGTTAAAACAAAACATGTAATGCTGTCTTAAAAGGAATTTAAGATAGATCTTTGGATCTATCTTACATAGGCCATTGCAATTAAAAATATATCAAGATCTATACATGTATTATAGACCAAACCAATTTCCTAATGACTTACCTGTTTTCTGATACATTTCTCTTCCAATTTAACATTGACCAATGTTATTTTAAAAGATATCTGAAACTCTAAGTTGTGTTTGCATTTGGGGATTGAGTATGTGTACTGATGTATTTATCTATTTGACTCAGATATGGAATATGTCACTTACTTGTTTTGTGACATTGAGCAGAGTACTTTTCTAAGATCTGATTTTTAAAATATCTGAAATGGGTAACATACTTATTTTATTTTATTTATTTTTTAAATATATTTTATTGATTTTTCACAGAGAGGAAGAGAGAGGGATAGAGAGTTAGAAACATCCCCTGCTAGGGATGCGCCCGAAACCAAGGTACATGCCCTTGACCAGAATTGAACCCAGGACCTTTCAGTCCCCAGGCCGATGCTCTATCCACTAAGCCAAACCGGTCCCGGCAACATACTTATTTTAGATGAACATAATAGTAATTAAATGTAATTCTGTGTGTAAAGTGCCTGGAGCATTCATAGCAGGTATTTAGCAAATAGTAAATATTATTACTTGTAGCCAGAACTAGCATTCAACTTATTTTTTTTTTTAATTAGAAGGAATATGTTTATATGGTTCATTCTCTAAACTTCTATATTTAGAAGTTTAACATACACATGAATCACAGGAATGAGAGCTTCATAAAAGTTCTTCCAGTCTTTTGTTTAATTTTTCTCATCACTATACTAAATACTATAATATCGCTACTTTACATTTCTTTGGGTATTCACTATAAATTGAGTGTGATGAAATCTGTGATCTGCTATGAAAGCAAATGACATGGAACTATATCTGAGAATTGTCTGTTAATAGTTAATGGGTAAAAAAAATATTTTCTTCATTTTGAGAATTTAATTCCATTAAGACATGTCTTTAAAAATAAAAAATGTGAGCCAAAACTGGTTTGGCTCAGTGGATAGAGCTTCTGTCTACAGACTGAAGGGTCCCAGGTTCAATTTCTGTCAAGGGCATGTACATTGGTTGCGGGCACATCCCCATTGGGGGGGGGGGGGTGTGCAGGAGGCAGCTGGTTGATGTTTCTCTCTCATCGATGTTTCTAGCTCTCTATCCATCTCCTTTCCTCTCTGTAAAAAAATCAATAAAATATATTTAAACAAATAATTAAAAAATAAAAAATGTGGTTAATTTTATTCCTTTGTTTTTGAAGGATACTTAGCCCACAATTATATATTACTAGAGGGCTGGTGCACAATAATTCATGCACTCAGTGGGGTCGCTCAGCTCGGCCTGCACCCTCTCACAGTCTGGGACCCCTTGGAGGATGTCCACCTGTCAGCTTATGCTGGCAGTCAGACATCCCTCTGGCAGCCCAGGAGCCCTCAGGGAGTGTCCAACTGTGTCTTAGGCTTGCTCCTCATCCTCCTGCCCCCGGGGAACAGGCCCAAGCCACAATTGGACATCCTTAGCACTGCCAAGGTGAGAGAGGCTCCCACCACTGCTGCTTCAGTTGCAACCTTCAGCCTGGCTAATGGCTGAGCAGAGCTCCCCTATAGGAGCACACTAACTATCAGGGGGCAGCTCCTGCATTGACCATCTGCCTCATGGTGGTCAGTGCACGTCATAGCGACTGGTCAAATGGTCAACTGTCTGCCTACTGGTGGTCAGTGCAGGTCATAGTGAGCAATTGAGAGGCCTTAGCATATTACACTTTGGTTGGACGGATGACCAGGTGACTGGACACTTAGCATATTAGGCTTTTATTAATTATGACTAGAGGCCCATTACAGGAAGATTTCTGCAAATAGGGCTTCCTGCTGCGGTCACCACCCTGCCTGCTTCCCTCCCTTCTCCACTGTCCCGCTGGTTTGCTTCTGGGCATCTTCACTCCCTTTTGCAGCTCTTGGATTCTTTCTACGTATCTTCAGTCTTTGCTCTGGCCTAGATATGCAAATTAACCGCCACCTTGGTTTGGTTAATTTACATACTCACCCTGATTGGCTGGTGGGCATGGCTTGTTGACATAGCAGAGGTAAGGTCAATTTGCATGTTTCTCTTTTGTTATGTAAGATTCCCCATGCCTGCCACAAACACCACCACTACCATCAACACACACACACACACACACACACACACAAAACTGCATCACAGTAATTTGACTTAGACTATATTAACTTTTGCTATATAGACATTTCTAATTACATCATAGAGATAAAAATAAGAGTTGATTTAGTTTTATAGGTAAATTTTAGTGATTTATTCAGAATTTTTTGTTATGTCTGAACAGTTGATTCCTTATAGAATATAGTTTATGTAGTATCTTACCTGGGTCTTTGAGAGTCAACAGGATAAGAGAAAGGTCCCCTTAAGTGAATTTCTAGTTCTGAGTAACCTAATTAGAAATAATTTGTGACTTTGGAATGAAAGAGACAGCTTTTCTATATATTTTTTTTTTTATTAGGGTCAGATTGCTGAGAAGTTAGCAATTAACACATATTTCATTTCTCCTTAGAAAAATATAGAAGGTTCATTAAAAATTATGTTTATATGTAATTTGTAAATAGTATATCATCCCTTAAAATAATTTTTTGACCTGCTGCATATAAAAATCTAGGCTTAGGTTCAGAGTTGGAAGCCTACCTGCATCACTTAGTAGTTAATTGTACGATTAGGTAACTCTGTTACAAGACCTCTCTGTACTTACCTCATTATGAAAAGATGAAAAATCACTTAGTAATACTTGCAGCACAGTAAGTGCCCAGTAATCGATAGTTACTATGGCTGTGTTGCTAAGTGAGTGAATGGCCATATGGGACTTTGTGAAGGGTGACGTGCTTTTCTTACCTGACGGCCAATACCTGGAAAACTTGAACCCAAACTTCCAGGGCTTTCGTCCTTTAGAACTGTGTCACCCGGACTGTATTCTGTAGGGTATATGTTCCTTGAAAAGAGTGCAATAAGTTTTGAATATGCATGTTAGAATTTTCCAATGGGTTGAGAAATTCTGCAATTAACAATGTATCTTTAATTCCCTTGAATCCATTGTTTTAAAAAAATATTTAACCATGGCATGTATTGTCATCACAACATTGGTTGAGAAACAGGCTCTTTTGCACAAAGTTGTCATCCCTGTTAAATGGAAAATATAGCTCTTGAGAGCACAGCTTTCAGCTATTTTTTGTAGGTGCTCTCCAGTCCCATGTGTAAAAGGTCTACATCTTTCACTGCTGACCACATTTTGAATGAATGAAAAGGAGGGAGGCTTATAATGGGAATAGAAACTGCAGGGTTATAGAGGAGGGAAAATGGCATTGGTATGATGTGAAGAACACACACAATTCCTTAATTATCTTAAAGATTAATCCAATCAGGTGGGAGCTTTGATTATGGGCTATGCTAGAGAAAATAAGAGGAAAGTCAGAAGGTGATTATCTGTTAGAGAAAGTAAAGTGTGTGGGTCAAATGAAACTAGGAAATTGAATAGGGAATTCTAATATATAATCGCTTCTCGGCCTTTTGGCTAAGATCAAGTGTAGTATCTAATATAAATAGCATCTGTGCATCTCAACTGAGCAGGTGTCTTTATAGGTATTTTCACATTAAATTATGTAAACCTGCTACTGTCAAAAATTATATAAGCTATGTAAGTGGCCTCACATTGTTTAAATATTGGCATTTCATTTATCAAAACATTCCAAAATTAAGAGCAACTTGACTGCATGGCCATAAACAGATTGCTTTCATTTCAAAAGTGTTTTTCAATGAAACACATGTTGGAAGCAAGCACATGGACTATTAATAGTCACCCAAATAAATTATTGCTGAAATATATTTCTACTTGAAACAACAGAAGCTGATATAACTGCAAATAATTTAGCCAGAGAATGGATTTTATATTTTGGAGATTGACTAATTTAACAGGTTATGTAGAAAACAAACTCAATATGACAATGACTTTTATTCGTCAGATAGACTGAATGCTCTTTAAAGGAACAGGATAACCTCAGACATCAGTCAGCAGAGATAAGCACATTAATAGATGCTTGGTGATAAATAGCACAAAGTATGACATTAGAAAATCCAATTAAGTTTATGAAAAGGATAAATAATGATGTATCTACTTCTGAATGCCACATTTCTGAATATCCTCAGAGTCCTCTATCTTCCCTTAGATAACCACTTTGGTTTTGGTATTTGTTTTTCAGCTGTTAGGTTTGCAAAAGGGCCTCCTTTCATTATGAAAAGAATCTTAAAAATTCATGGAACTTTTTACCCAAAGATAAGTTTAAGGCATTTTTAATGGTAAATTAACTTTTAATTTGATAACAAGTAATTTAGTTATTTTTACTAAGATTCTATAACTTTTTAATATTATATAATGGAATATTTAGCTAATTAAAATATCGTCTGGGGCAGAGAAAAAAAGTATGATTAGAGTCTAAAAACAAATGAAATTTAATATCCTCCATGTATGTCTAGAAGATTAAATTTTTAGTATTGTTTCTAAAACAATGCATGCACATAATTAAAGATATCTCAGAAACTTTTTTAAAAATAGAAAAAAACTGGTGTATGTATTCTAGTTTTTATTTTTCTACATTTACTTTAATAGCTTTTCTTGTTAAGCCTCGTAGGTTTAATATATTTAAATTTGTACATGCACTAATTTTTTTATTATTTAAAGTATTACATGTTTCCTTTTCCCCCCATTGTCCTCTCCCCAGCTGTTCCCACCCCCAGCACATGCCCTCACCCCCTACTGTGTGTCCATTGGTTATGGTCATATGCATGCATGCAAGTCCTTTGGTTGATCTCTTACCCTCCTCCTCCGCTGCCTTCCCTCTTAAATTGACAGTCTGTTCGATGCTTCTATGACTCTAGCTCTATTTTTGTTCATCAGTTTATGTTGTTCATTATAGTCTACAACCGAGTGAGATAATGTGATATTTATCTTTCTCCAAGTGGCATATTTCACTTAGCATAATGCTCTCGAGGTCCATCCATGCTGCTATGAATGGTAAGAATTCTTTCTTTTTTATAGCAGTGTAGTATTCCATTGTGTAGATATACCACTGTTTTTTAATCCACTCATCTGATAATGGGAATTTAGGCTGTTTCCAAATCTTAGCTATTGTAAATTGTGCTGCTATGAACATAGGGGTGCATATATCCTTTCTGATTGGTGTTTCTAGTTACTTGGGAAATATTCCTAGAAGGTATTAGTAAGTCAAATGGGAGTTCCATTTTTAATTTTTTAAGGAAAATCTACACTCTTCTCCTCCATGGCTGCACCAGTCTGCATTCCCACCAGCAGTGCAGGAGGGTTCCTTTTTCTCTGAATCCTCACCAGCACTTGTCTTTTGCTGATTTGTTGATGATAGCCATTTTGACAGGTGCGAGATGGTATCTCCTTGTTGTTTTGATTTGCATCTCTCAGATGATTAGTGACTTTGAGCATGTTTTCATGTGTCTCTTGGATTTTTGTATGTGCTCTTTCAAAAAGCTTCTATTTAGGTCCTTTGCTTATTTTTTCTTATTGGATTGTGTGTCTTCCTTTTGTTAAGTTGTAAATTTTGGTAAATATCAAAGATAACATTGGTAAATATGTTCTCCCATGCAGTGAGCTTTCTTGTTGTTTTGTTGATGGTTTCTTTTGCTGAGCAGAGGCTTTTTATTTTGGTGTAGTCACACTTGTTTATTTTCTCCTAATTTTCCATTGTCCAGGGAGCTGCATTGGTAAAGATATTGGTATTATGATGCCTATGAATTTTTCTAAGATTTTTATTGTTTCCCATCTTATGTTTATGTCCTTTATCCATTTTGACTTTATTTTGTGTGTGGTGTAAGCTGGTGGTCCAGTTTCTGTACGTGCACTTTAAAATTACATTAGTAGGGCCATTTGGTGACTTCTCATTCATAAATATTTCAGTTTTGCTCTCTTCTCATATATTCTACAATGTTTAGAGACAAAAGAAAATAATAAAAGAAAAATCCACAGCAATTTTTTGGATAAAAGAATTGATCATCTTCCATGCAAGATTATTATTCATTAATATAAAGACTGAATAAATTTTCAAATTTTAAAAATTTATTTTTCAATTATAATGAACATACACTATTTTGTTAGTTTCAGATGTACTACATAGTGTTTAGATATTTATATACCTCACAAAGTTATCACCCCAACAAAGCTAATATCTATCTGGCACCACATATAGTTATTATAATATGAATGCCTATATTCTCTGGGCTATACATTATAATCCATGACTCAATTTATAATTAATATTTTCTTAACCCCTTTAACCATTTTTGCCCACCTCTTGACCCTTTTCCCATCTGGTGACCATCAATTTGTTCTTTTCATCTATGAGTTTATTTCTGTTTTGTTTTGTTTTTCACTTATTTTCTTTTTAGATTCTACATATAAGTTAAATCATGTGGTATTTAATACTGAATAGTTTTTAATAACATAGAAAATACTTTTTTGGTTGAATTGGATTTGAAATGAAATAAGCATAGGATCAACTCATGGCTCTGTAACTAATGGACCTTCACCTTTTGCAAGCCAGGCAACCTCTCTGATGCTCAGAAGGCATTATGTATGTTGATGATGACATTAATTATTAAAGGGAATGATTGACTCATAGTAATTCAATTTATATACCTTGTGTTCAAAGAAAAACACTGCAGAAATTAAAATTGCTTTCTCTAGGCATTTGGGATTGAGGGTATTTATCAAGAAAAAGTGAGTTAATGACTCTCTAGTTTTATGCAGGATTAATTATCTGCCCTTCCTTCATTCATTCTTCAATCACTTATTCCTGATTGCATGTGCTGGGTTCCAGGGATACACAAAGAATGGCTCCAGCCCTCAGGGACTGTATTTAAGTGAAATATAGATAGGAACATCTGAATGCCTTTATTTCTTTTTATATTCACACTAATTCAAATCAGTGACTCAAGAATCCTCAGCCTGCAGAAATATGAATAATTCAGTCATTGAAACTAGTTAACAGGGACTAGCAGCAGATAGGAGTGTTTTCTCTGAGTACTGGGGGTGACTCCTGATGCGTAACTGCTGTTCCAGAAAGTCATACTCATTTCGGAACGTAGTCATGAGTACCATCCCCTGGGACAGTGTTTTGCAAATTTTAGTTATTCTCATAAGACCTTCCTCAATTTTTGGCTCTACCACCTATCCTCTTGTATAAGAAACATTTTTCTTTAGAGTAACTTTTTTTTTTTGGCTTAAATATAATACATTTAAAAGAACATTTATACCACTACCATCAGTAAAAAATCATTATCACTTGCATAAACAGTAGGTGAGCATTGAAATGAAATAGTATTGAGATACTTATAGCTAAGGACAGGCTCTGGGACACGCTCTCCATATTCTATCTCATTTCAATCTCACAACAACTGATCTCACATGTGGTGTTATCCAGGTGTTACATGTGCGGAATTCAGGCTCAGAGAGGGTAATTATCTGCTTGAATCTGGAATCTATGAGCTTGGCCTTTTAACCACTCTGTAACTCTGAAATGAGTTCATTTCAATTTCACACAGATGCATATATACTTCTATCGATATATCAGAACGGCATTCCTCCCATGTGAACATTTCCTTTTTTTAAAATCAATAGAGCAGCCATGCATAAAATCATTTTAATAGAAAAATGTGCAACATAAAAGATGACATAGTTACCCATCAACAGATCAACTTAGAAACATTTTTTCCCAAGGGATAGATTAGACAACCACAGTTTCCAGCTAATAATCATAAAAATTTAGAATGTTTTGCTACTTTCAAAGACCTTGGAGGTGAATGTAATAACAGGAAGTGAAATATCAGCAATAAAATGCTAGGGGGAAAAATGCCTTTAATGAAGGCTATGAGGATATTTAAAATTGTGAAAGTGTAATAGAGATGTGATTAAAATATATTGTAAAATGCTTGCAATGAAGAATACAAGGCTAATCATTTGTAGCTTCCTAATGCTTTGCATCTTCAAAAGAATTTTCAACCCCCTACTAATGGACTTTTAAAAAATGCTCCTAATGTGTCACTTGCTTTGACTCAATGAGAAATATAAACCATGGTCATTTTAGCAATTTAGTCAGGGTTGTCCTACCTACAAACACTGTGTTAGGAGAAGCCGAGCATATATTGGACATGATCTGTTTTACTTCAGAAGCATTTAGGAAAGGAAGAGAAGGAACTGGAGTTGAAAGCAGTGTTCAGGCACTGTGGTGGACAGAATAATGGCTCCCCAAGGGTGTCTACATCCTAATCCCCAAACTTGTGAATATGGAATTAAGATTGCAATCAGTTTACTTGGAGATGGGGAGAGTATCATGGATTATGCAAGTGAGTGAAAGAGGGAAGCAGGAGAGGCAGAACCAGAACTGTGGCAACATGAGGAGGACTCAGCCCAATGTTGCTGGCTTGAAAATGGAGGTGTGGGGCCAAGAGCAGTGGATGGCTTCTAGAAGCTGGGCAAGGCATGTGGATGATTATTCTCGAAGGTCTCCAGAAGGAACATATCCTCAGCCTGGCCTGTGCCCTTTCACTGTCTGGGACCCCTTAGGGGATGTCCACCTGCCAGCTTAGGCCTGCTCCCCAGGGGAATAGGCCTAAGATGGCAGGCAGACATCTCTCTGGCTGCCCAGGAGACCTTGGGGATGTCCAACTGAT